GATCAAACTACACTATTACATGTTACCCCCGGGTTCAAACCATTTACTGTATTAAATTAATTAAGTCGTCTGACCTTTTCAGAAGCAGATCCTTAAGGCCAACATCCACCGCAGTAAGCCGCTTGCACAACTCGTTTAATTCCAAATCTGGAGTCTGAAAGCGAAAAATAGTGGTTGCACATTATTAACACTTACCACTGCGATAGTTAGATCAAGCAACCTCTCATAACATAGTTACAAAGGTAGATGAAGTACATGCATTTACGTGTACTATACCTCAAACAATTCCAATAAAAGCAAGGATAGTTTATATCTGCATCTTTTCATACATTCTAAATCTTCTTCGTCTTCCTCATCGGTGGAGCCTATGAGCTTGATGAAAATCAAAAGAGATACCTTGTGAGGAGAAACCCAGTCTTTTTGTGACTTTGTCGCCATTTTGAAAGTTCTTCTATTTGAACATTAGCGCCAACCTCTCGAGCTCAACTATTTAGGGAGGGGTAGGTCAAAAAAAAACCTCTTACATTGCCTAGAGGGGTAAAAGACTGACCCTTTCTCATTCAAACAAATACTTACCCATAAGTTCAATTTTAATTTGTATATTGTAAAGGGAATGGTGAAAAAAAAACTTAATTCTATATTTGAATCAAGGTGAGTTTCATTTGAGATAGTTTTCCCTACCTCCTTCCTACTGAGTCAAATATGAAACTACCCAGAAGCCCTGGCGAGTAGCGTTCAAAACGACAATGAAAATGGCGGCTGAATCATGGAAAAGAGTTGGTACATGACATCAAGCACGAATTTGTGGCTTGTCTATCAACGAAAACGATTTTCGTAGAATGATTTTTACGCTCAAAGAAGTCATAAAATGGCTGGGACTATCGATCTTCGAGCTGTGGCTTCATATAGTGGCAATTTTTGTATTTTCAGTTCTGGTTGCCGTGAAATTGGAAGGCGGAACTTTATCATGGTGGACAGTGTTTGTTCCTTTGTTTGTGTGCGATGGATGCGTGGCTTACTTCACAGCTATCGTTTTCATAAGACTCTGTTTGATAGGTGATCGACGTTTAGCGGGAAAAAGAACGGCGTGGAGCTTATTACTGTTAACTTTGTTGTTAAGTTATAAGATACTTCTCTGTCATCGACTTGAAAACTACATTGTTAGAGATTATGCTGTTATACACGTTCCCCTGTTCCTTCTCTTATTGGTCCTCGCTGTACGAGCTTGTCAAGTCGACTGCTAATGATCGAAGTGAAATACTCCAAGTCAGCATGATCATACGTTCGAACTTCATATTACTAGCACAGCCACATCACGTGATGAAATACAGAGGGCAACACGGCGATCTATTGACATTCGTAGATGTAGAAGTTGAAGTCAAGGTACCATCCATGCATGCGATCTCGACAAATACAAATATCTGATTCGCGCATTTAAGTAATTGTGACCACATAACTCTGTACATTGAAACGCGTTAAACGGAAAATTGTCATTAGAAAACAATGTATAGGTTACCGGCTTTGGATTCATTTGACAGCTGTCCATTTAGAAAGCTGAAATCGAGCAAATGCGTTGTTTCCATTTAAAGTTAGTCGTGTACATTTGCCAAAATAGAGTTAAATTGAATTAATAAAATTTTCAACACAGGAAAGTAACAAATAAAGTTTGTAAATAGATCATTTTGACATGATTGACCTTACATAGTCTGATCAGAATTAATTTCTTCTTTCATAAAGAAAAGAAATAGCAGAAGAGACTGGGGTTTCTTTCTGTGGGCAAGCTAGTCATGGCATGGTGATGCAGTGTTAGTTAAGTGTCAGCCCAGATCAGTTTTATCTGTGTGAAGTCCCAGGAAAATACTTTAAACAACTATGTCTATGGTGAATTGGTTATTGTTATGATCACTTTTACAAATTGATTTCATGTTGCTGTGAGTCTGTTCAGTAATACATCACAGATTATGTCAAAGTGTGGTAAGAACAAAAGAAGAGGCACACTTGATGCAGCAGAGTGTGTCACTCATTTTCTTACCATATTTTGGTGTCTTTAGTGGTCTATTACTGTACAGACCCTTGGTAACATGGAATGTATTTGTTCTTTATGATAAGGAAGCAAATTATTGTTAATGGTTAAGTCAATTATTCGCCCATTCTGTTATAAATCATGAGTAAGAGCCAATCAAAACAAGTGTATCATACAGCTTATCATATCAGTTTTTATCACCACTGGCTGCTTTCCACATCATTATTACTATCATTATTGTAACAGAAAGAGAGGCATTACATCATCATGTCATATATTCTTATTTGCAGAAAAAAGGACACCTTGACAGCATGAACCATAAACAGTGTACACCAATGGATTTATTGGCAATGTTCACACATATACACAATATGTGATTTAATTTTTCCATTCATTTATGAGGATTATTTCTCCCAGGAAGGCATGGCCAACTACCTGTTATTATCATGTACCTGCACAAGGTCATCATATCTCATCTCATATTGTTAATACTTTCTCGGTGTAAAATTTTTTCAGCAGGGTGTATTTTCCAACCTATGCTGAGCTACTGTACTGTACAGCTTCTTTCCTTAACCCTTTAACTCCCTTGCATGACCAAGACAGAATTTCTCCTTACAATATCAATACAATATCAACAGATGAGTGATGAGAATAAAGAGAAATATCAATTTGGGGATATTTCGCTGATCCAATACTAAACTCTCTGAACTAATATTATAAGACTTGTATGGTAGACAGTAAGGAGAATTACAAATTTGATCTGGGAGTGAAAGGGTTAACACTGACCCTTGATCAGAAATGGTGTACAGTTAAGTGTGCACAATGACATATTTTTCTTTAAGGTTTCCATTTTGGAAAGTTGGAATCATTGGATTTAGTAAGTATAAAGGGCACACTCAAGCCAAGTAAAAATTTCCCTTGATTGGAAGCGATCTCTCCATTAAGGTTATAGAAGCATTTTCCTTGGCTAGGATCAAACCTTTTGCCCCTGAAGGAAGATCTGTCTCTAAAGAGGTAAATTTTAGCTCAAAAGCAGATGGCTCATGCAGTTAGAACCAGTTTCAGTAGCATTAGTTGATAGAGTATAACCACTCCTGATAATGCAGGATATCAATCAATCACAGGGTGACCCAATCAATCACAGGCTTCATAGGTTCCCAGACAGATAGCTTGTGCCCATTTATAATCCTAAGTAGATAAAGGTACTGGTACTGAGAAAATAAAGGATGTCTTGGGGTGGAATACACCAGCAAAATGACCCATGCTGGTCTCAAGACAGAACCTTTTGATCACTAACCTTAAGCACTAACCCATAGGTTTATGTCTTCCTGAAACGTAACGGAAAATGAAAAAAATGTATCCCAAATAATAGGTTCGGCTATAACGTGATATTTTACATTCCCTGCAACCTCATTTCGCCACCTGGAAAACTAAAAAGGGAGTGTGTAGCCTAATAACCAAATTCAAGTCACTATAGAGGCTCTCCTTGCACACAACAATATCATTTAATTAAGTACGATAGGGACGACTGAGCTAACATACAGTACTAGCTTTTTTTTCTGTTTCAAATTGGTTTAAAGGTAAAGCTAGCTTATGATATAGAATTAATGTTAGGTCTTGATCCAGGTAAATGATTAACTGGAATGAAATGGCTGATCAGGAATTCCTTTTCGGCAGACTGTGGAATCTGTTTTCTCGCACCATCGGGAAAGACGCACGACTTCATAGCGTCTCGTTGCGGACAAAAAAGAAATAGAGAGCAAGAAAAAGTTAACTAATCTCAAGTCATAAAACATCGAAATTAAAAACTATGAGATCAAACAAATAACTAAATATAGATGAATGTCTACGAATGATAAAATGTCCCAAGTTTACCGACAAATTAACGGAAGTTGAAATTTACACGTTGATTCCTGAGGTTTAAGTTGTCAATTTTTTTTTCTTGGAAATGACAGAAAATTGTCAGTATCCAGCTCTACGAAGTAGTTCGTTGTTACTCAGGTCATCACATTCAGAGGATTCCCAGTAAACCGAAAAAACCCTGATATGCCCGCTCCCTTATCCACTCCGAACAATTCAATTTCCCGATGAACACGGAGTTTACACAACGGAAAACCATCATACTCTGGTAATACATAGCGAAGGCGGTGGTTACGGTTGGGGAGATTTGTTTGTTCGGCCTGCCATCGGAAGCGCTGCTTTAAAATGAACATGAATAACCTAAACAAAAATGACAGAGATAGTAGGCGGATGTGACTCTGTATTTCATGATTTTAGTAGTGACTAGAAGGAGAGCCAGGAACAAACGTAATGCCTGAACGCCACGCACTCAGAGAATATAACACTCGCGAGAGTCTCGTGTAGCGCGCAGACACGGGCTTAAGTCCACACAAAATCCACGCTTCTCAGAGGCTAATGAGTGACAGAGTGTCAGTTTCCTTGACCTAGAGACACAAGAAGGAAAAAGATATGTAATATTTTACAAGTGGCTCACTTACAATTTCCAGGAAACAGAGAAAAGTTCCTGGCTAATCGCGTGTTATATGATCATGTCCCTTTTTCTTCGTTAGATGGGACGTAACGATACTTAATGTTAAAAGGGTAAAGTTTCCAAAGAAATTGTGGTGCTACGTCGGTGGGGAATATAACAGGGTAATTCAGCATTATCAACAGCGTTGATAACGCAAGTTGGCCACCATAAAGAGACATTTCGAGCGTTAGCCCTTCGTCGGAACGATATACTTAACGTTAGGCTTGGAAAGATCGTTACGTCTGTGATGTCTATATAGCTACTAATGTGCATACCGTGTACGATTTTGCATTTTGGACCCTAGTAACCGATTTTGGATAATGGACCCATGTGGCCGATTTTGCATTTTGGACCCTAGTAACCGATTTTGGATTGTGGACCCAAGTGGCCGATTTTGCATCTTGAACACTAGTGTCCGATTTTGCATTTGAGACACCAGTGGCCAATTGTGGATTTTCGACACTATTGTCCGATTTGTGATTTTGGACCCTTGTGGCCCATTTTGGATTTTAAACACAATTTAAGATTTTAGACAGTAGTGTCTGATTTGGAATTTGAACACTAGCGGCCGATTTTGGATTTAGTGGCCTATTTTGGATTTCGGACCCTAGTGTCCAATTTCAGATTTTGAACCCCTGTGGCCGATTTTAGATTTGGACACTAGTGTCCTATTCGGAATTTTGGACCCAAGTGTCCCATTAGGAATTTGGACACTAGTGGCCGATTTGGGATTTTGGACCCTAGTGGCCAATTTGGGATTTTGGACACTAGCGTCCAATTTGGAATTTTGGACCCTAGTTTTCATTTAATCGCCAGATTGAGGAGTTATGCAAAAAGTTGGCGAAACATACTGGACTCCTTCGTCACATAAGTCCATATTTAAAACGCAGTCAACGAGACATATACTACTCTAAGATCATTAAACCTATAATGCTTTACAGCAGTATGATTTGGACTTCTTGCAGTAAAGAAAATCTTTTGAAAGTTCTGCGTCTTCAAAAACGCGCGGCTAGAAAAATTCTCGATGGC